AGAGGGGATATAATCAGTTAATCAAAATTGAACCAGACCTAACATGATGTTAGAATTAACAGAGAGGACAGCCAGGCGCGGTGGCTCACGCCTGTAATCTCAGCACTTTGGGAGGCTGAGGCAGGTGGATCACCTGAAGTCAGGAGTTCGAGACCAGCCTGGTCAGCATGGTGAAACCCTTTCTCCAGTAAAAACACAAAAATTAGCCAGGCATGGTGGTGCATGCCTGTAATCCCAGCTACTCAGGAGGCAGAGGCAGGAGAATTGCTTGAGCTGGGGAGGCAGATGTTGCGGTGAGCTGAGATCGCAGCATTGCACTCCAGCCTGGGCAACAATAGCGAGACTCTGTTCTGAAAAAAAAAAAAAAAAAAAAAAAGAACACAGAGGATTTTAAAATAATTATTATGACAATATTGTATGGGTCCAAAAAATTAAGCAGAGGTATCGAACATATAAAAATGGCCGGAATCAAACTTTAGAGATTAAAAACTATAACATCTGAGATAATACATTGACTGGATGCAATTAATAGCAGATTAGACACTGCAGAAAAGAAGATTAAGAAACACAAAGCCATGAATTATTGAAACATTTAAAATACAACTCATCAACTCATGGAAACAATTTTTTTTTTTTTTTTTAATTGAGACAGAGTGTTGCTCTGTCGCCCAGGCTGGAGTGCAGTGGCGCGATCTCGGCTCACTGCAAGCCTTGCCTCCAGGGTTCACGCCATTCTCCTGCCTCAGCCTCCGAAGTAGCTAAGACTACAGGCGCCTGCCACCATGCCCAGCTAATGTTTTGTATTTTTAGTAGAGACGGGGTTTCACTGTGTTAGTTAGGATGGTCTCAATCTCCTGACCTCATGATCCACCCCACTCGGCCTCCCAAAGTGTTGGGATTACAGGCGTGAGCCACTGCGCCCGGCAAACAATTTTTTTTTTAAATGAACACAGCATCAGTGAATGATAGTGCAAGTTTAAGAAATCTAATAGGCAAGTTAAAGGAGTCCTCCAGACAGAAGGAAACTGACACGGGAAGAAAATCTGGATGAAAAAAAAAAAACAACACTAGAAATGACATCTACATAGGCAAATATATAATTTTAACATCTGACTGTTTAGCCGGGCGTGGTGGCTCATGCCTGTAATCCCACCACTTTGAGAGGCTGAGGCGGGCAGGGATCACTTCAGGTCAGGAGTTCGAGACCAGCCTGGCCAATATGGTGAACCCCCTTCTCTACTAAAAGTACAAAAATTAGTCGGATGTGCTGGCCCACGCCTGTAATCTCGGCTACTCAGGAGTCTGAGTCAGGAGAATCGCTTGAACCTGGGAAGCAGAGGTTGCAGTGAGCCAAGATTGTGCCCCTGCACTCCAGCCTGTCTGATAGAGCAAGACGCATCTTACAAACAACAAACAAACAAACAAAACAAAAACACATCTGACTCTAAACAAAAGTAATAACGATGGATTGGAAAGTTTATAACACGTGTAAAGTAAAATGCATGACAACAGCGTAAAGGCAGGGAGAGGAGTAATGTGAAGCGGTATGGTGCCACTTGAAGGAGACTGATGGGTTAATTTTTGTGGAAAGGAAGGCAGAATATTTGAAGTTTCTCTCTTCATATACTTTCAGGTTCCCATGCATACAACCTAGTTTGTTCTGGAGGGATCTTATTTTCTAGGAGGCTCAGAGGGGAACCTTCTGCTTTGTGTCCTCATGGGATGCACAAGACACAAGGGAACAGTCTTTCACTTTTAAATACGGTGATAGGCCTCAGGAGAAACACCTGCAATTTATTATTTTTTAATGAGATGGGATTCTCACTGGTCTTGAATTTCTGAGTTCAAGCGAGGCTTCCCTTAAATCGGCATCTCAAAGTGTTGGGATTAACAGGCGTGAGCCACCGCGCCTGGCCACAATTACCAACATTTAAAATCACGTCCCTGGGTGGGCTCGAACCACCAACCTTTCAGTTAACAGCCGAACGCGCTCACCGATTGCGCCACAGAGACAACCTCATTTGGGTGATTTCATCTCAACATACATTAAGCAATCACTGAACTTTAAGTGTTGCCGTTCGCTCTCTGCAGGAAAAGTGTGCAGACAATAAAGCTTCAGAAAACCGGAGAGGCTGAGTCGACTCATTGTGTTGTTGCACGTTAGAAACGCGCGCATTGCATCCCTCTGAAGCCAGAAGGGCGGCCGAATGGCCTTCACCCTGCGTTGACCCTCGCCTCCTTCAGAAGCCAGTACCTCTGAAAATACCTGGATCAGCGACCCGAGCCTGAGCCTGGTAGGGCGCAGGGGAAGCTGAAGGCCCCGGCGGCTCTCTTAATAGCTCTTTCTGTTTTTGTTTTTGTTTTGTTTTTTTGCGCCGCCTTCAGGCAATCACCTGCTCCGCTTGCTCTCCCCTCACTCAACTCGGCTTCAATAGATGGGGTCGGTGGGGCTGGAGCGAGAAAGAGGCAGGGGAGTCAAAAGGGAAAAAGTGAAAAGGAGGAGGGAGAAGCAGGGGAGACCAGGACGAGACAATGGGACAGCCCAAGATGCCCGGGCACAGGGGACAGGCTGGATGCAGAGAAGATGGGACATGTATCAGAATGGAGAAGGGGAAACGGGGAGAACACTGAGAAAATCACAAGAACCTGTAGCTGCCCAAGAATAAAGAAGTAAAAATCGCATAATGTTTTTACATTAAAAAAAAAAATCGGGGAACCAGGCGCGGTGGCTCACGCCTGTAATCCCAGCACTTTGGGAGGCCGAAGTGGGTGGATCACTCACTTCAAGTCAGGAGTTCGAGACCAGCCGGGCCAATATGGTGAAAGACCGTCTCTACGAAAAATACAAAAATTAGCTGGGCGTGGTGGCACATGCTTGTAGTGCCAGCTACTCTGGAGGCTGAGGCAGGACAATCGCTTGAACCTGAGAGGCGGAGCCAAGATGGCGCCACTGTCCTCCAGCGTGGGCGACAAAGCGAAATTCTCTCTCTCAAAAAAAATATGTAAATAAATAAAAGAGGGGTGGGGAAGCAAAACGACGAGCAGTAAGTGTGGGGCGCACTGGGATTCTATAGTGGTTAATACTCTGCGTTGTACCTGCAGCAACCTCTGTTCCAGCCCGAATCCTGCTACAGTCAGACTCTATCTTGGACCCACTGGGGCGAACCCACGTGTCTTCTGGTTTGCTTTTAATTCCTGCACCAGCTGCGGCCTTTATCTGCAGCCAGAAAGCCAGAAAGCCAGAAAGCAGGGTTTACCGCTGGCCCCACAGCGCCATACTGTCTGGGGAAAAGAAGGAAACCCAATAATACACAAACAACGGCCCAAAGAGGAACCTTCCGAGGTGCCCTATGCCTCACCGTTTAGCAGAAAATATCAAGCAACTCTCAACCTAGCTGGTCTGTAGCTTCCACGAATAAAATAATGTATTGCAGTCTTTCCGGTTGAGATATTTCAAATATTTGGTGGAGCTTTTAATAAGAGAGAGAGACTCGAGTGTGGAAGAAAAAAATGACGGGGTGTGAGGATGAGGCGACTTTAGGACAGAAAAAAAAAAAGACAAGGAAGCCACGTAAACGTTTTAGGGTGGGCGTGAGGCGATGTCAGTCTTGAATTCCGTTATGTTGGGTAAAGAGCGCCGCCCTCTTCTAGCACAAACACCGTTTCCCACATTGAGGAAATCACAGGATCAGCAACTCTAGAGCGCGATGAAGAAGCTTCACTCTGGGACAACCCCCTTCGTGACCACGGTCTCTCCCCCGCCAGGTAAGTGGGAATTAGCCCATGCCCTGCCGGGACAGCACAGCCCCCTCGCCCGGGCCGGACGCTCAGGGTCACCACCCTCCCCACTGCCGCCCCTTGCCATTCTTCCAAACCGCTCTCCGCCAAAGATTCCACCGACAGTCACCCCACACGACAACCCAGGCCGCCTTTCAGCAGCGGCTCCCGCCCCGCAGCCACCGCGCCCTCTCACCCGCGCGGTTCTACCCGCCGCCTCTGCCCAGTCTGTGCACTTCACCTCCCTGGCTCCCGCTCCCCCCTGAGCTTACAGTGGACGTGGGGTTCTCCGAACCCCTCTTGCGAGCACTGAATGGAAAAGGGGGAGCGTGCGCAAGTTCTTGGTAGAGTGTAGACATTGTGGGATTTGACTGTTTTACCGTTGCTTCGACGTCCTAGTGCTGATTTCTACACCTGCCTTCTGCTTAGGGCACCGGCAACAGTTTTCCATTTGTGCCTACTCCACCTGCTGTCGTTGTTGGGTCAGCGAACATCGCCTCCCTCTACCGCTCAATCAGCAAACCGGCCGCCCTCGAGGACCTCACCCGCCGCTCACCCGCCTCCCAACTTCGCGGGCATCGCCTCCGGTCGCCTCTTCCGAAGGCCTAACGAGCACGTTAGCTGCGAATGAAGGTGAGGAGGCTCTGCTGACTGGCCGGTGCCCGTGTCCAGGGCTTGCACAAACGCCAGACTTGGCTTGGCCTCTCTCTTAGTTATTCGCAGTCTAGGCCAAGAAAGTGGGCTTATTGGGTGCAGCTCCATGGGGGCTGGCATCTCTGCACGGCTGTGTACACTTCAGAGAGACGCTCAGTCGCTCTCTTTAGTGCAGATGACGGACACGGAGATAAATAGGGGTGGTGTGCCCTGAGAGGTGGTCTACCAGGACTTGCGCTTCTTCACCCGGGTTTGCCCCTCGCTGCGGAAAGGGCTCTGCATCCAGCCCTTGGAGCTGAGAGTGTAGTAAAGTAACATTTCTGTGGGAGGGCGGCCAGTGCAAAACAATTCCCTGACGGGGAGTCGAACCCGGGCTGCGGCGGTGAAAGCGCCGAATCCTAGCCACTAGACCACCAGGGACATACGGGAAGCTCCTTGCTCACTCTTCTTTGCTCTGAAGCCACAGTTTCCCTGTGCTTTGGGAGGACTTGGGCCTTGTGAGGGTCGCTCTTTGCTTCTGGAGTCGTATCACAAGGCTCTTCCCTCCCTGCTTTCTTCAAAACAGAGAGCCTGCAGGCGACACACCGAGGGCTCCGCGAGGGTCACCAAGGCTAGGAGTCCCAAGTCCTGCAGCGAGTTGCAGCGACCTGGCCGCAGCTCACCACTGAACTAGAGATGCGCCTTTGCCAGGAGGCAGTAAATGACCAGACGGTCGCGGGTCGCCAGGTCCGGAGCTGCGCACCAGATTGCCAGGAGGCGGTGGGAGCCGGGAGGCGCCGGGGGTAAGACGGGGGCACCCTCTGTATCGTAAAGGACCCAGAACCCGGCACCCTCAACATCATAAGGAACCCGACGGATGCGGAAACCGAGACGGGCTGGATGGGAAAGTCTTTCCAGGAAGGCTCCGGGGCCCTCAGCTGGTCTCCGACCTTCCCCTGTAACCTGTGACACCTGCCATTTTCCCATCTTCGGCGAAGGCAAAGCCACCCTTGCGTTTGCTCCAGACAAAACTTCCAGAGTTCCCTCTGACGCTGGAGTTTTATCCTCAGATCCGAGATCCAACTGGTCACCCATTCGTGAGTTCCCATCGGCCAAGTGCGTGGGCATTGATCTACACGCGAGTTTCTCCTCCTCTGCCGAATGGCTACTTCGGGGCGGGGGAGGGGCCCTCCCGCGGTGGATTGTAAGGTGTTTAGCAGCATCCGTCCCTTGGCTGACTAGCTACATGCCGGTGGTTAACATTGTCCCTCCCCGCTTCCCCCAGTCGTGGCCTAGTGTCCCAGCGAGGATGGGAGAGGCGTGTAAGGACGAAGTTGCCTCCTCTTGAGAACCATTGCTGCGGGTTGCCGTGCTCTCTGAACTTGTGCAGAGTGAAGGCTCAGGGCTCCATCCAGCTCGAGACACCCTCGCTCCCCAGCACAGTCGGACCTTAGGATCGGAGGCTTTTAACATCTCCAAATCATGAGATTGGAAACCTTTAGGTCTTTTCTTCCGTTCTGTCCTCCAAATCCGCCACTTCCGAGCCTGTTGACCAGGGCCAGCCAAGCAGAGGGCTGGGTTCGCTCAACGAGGCTCCTCTCGCACGTCTTGAAGCTTCAGGCCTCTTTCGGTTGTAGAGAAGTCTTATGGGCCACTTCCTTCGGCATCCCCGGGGGCAGGTGCGCGGTGCGCGGGGAAGAACAGGGTTTGACTGCGGTTCTCGACCCCGGGCGCCGAACCTCCACCCCGGTGCGCGCGCTCTTCCAGGCTCCTGTTGGTCCCACTCGCCAGGAGTTAGGTCTTGGGTCATCCTGAGCTCCCGAGACGTCCAGGCGCGGAAGGACACGTAGGGGAAACCGACTGTTCACTTCGGTTCTTTCCCTTTTCTGACGGGAAAGAGAGGCGGTGTCCTGTCCTGTCCTGTTGGGTAGGCGGAAGAGAGATCACAGGGAGGACAAGAAAAATCCTGTGTGGTTTCAGGATCTAAAGTTACCACGAAGTCGACCTAACCTCCTCGGGAGGTCCTCCGGGTCCTCCCGTGGCTGGCGAAGGTGAATCGAGTTTCTGTCTCCAGTTTGCCAAGGCGGACAAAGTCGACACAATGGGCCTGTCCACTATCTTCTTTCATATGCACAAAAAGTCAGCTCTTCCTGTTTCTAACTGGCAACATCCTGCCTGATGACCAGCTTAGCAAATTAGAGACCCTCCATGGGATTCCATCTCTGTGTCAGTTCGGCCTTCTATAACAATGTACCGTACACTGGGTGACTAATTCACAACAGAAATTTATTTCTCACAGTTCTGGAGGTTGGTCCGACATCAAGGTGATAACATGGTAGGGTTATGGTGAGGGACTTTTTTTCTGGTTGTAGACTGCCACCTTCTCATTGTATCCTCAGGGGGCAGAAAGAGGGCGAGAGAGCTCCCCGGGGTCCCTTTTATATAAGGGCATTAGTCCCATTCAGACTAATGGGATTAAATCCACACTCTGCGCTGAGTGTTGTGGATTTTTTGTGTGTTCATTCTCCCAGCAGACAACTGGAGATGTATTGTCCCCAGAGGGTACAATAGAGAATCTTCCATCACAAGTCAGCAACCAGCATATGTGAGTGAGAGCATGTGTCTGACTCCGAAATGAGAGTGTATTAGTCTGTTTTCACGCTGCTGACAAATCATACCAGAGTCTGGGAAGAAAAAGAGCTTTAATTGGACTTACATTTCCACATGGCTGGGGAGGCCTCAGAATCATGGCGGGAGGCAAAAGGCACTTCTTACATGGCAGCAGCAAGAGAAAATGAGGAAGCAGCAAAAACAGAAACCCCTGATAAACCCATCAAATAGTGAGACTTATTCACTACCAGGAGAATAGCACCGGAGAGACCCACCCCTATGATTCAATTACCTCCTCCTAGGTCCCTCCCACAACACATGGGAATTCTGGGAGATGCAATTCAAGTGGAGATTTGGATGAGGGCACAGCCACACTATATCAGAAAGGGATGAAGTGACAGCATATCCTGGTGTGTGTGATGGTTTTATGAGTTATTACCTATTTCAAAATGTATTGCAATGTGGGAAAAAGAACAAGGACTTGTACTATCAGACTTTAAGGCTTCCTATAAGCTATTATAGACAAGGCATCAGGAGTGACAAATAGATAAACAGACTGAGTTAAGAGACCTGAAACTGATCCACAGCTAGACGGTCAATAAATGGGTCTTCAATAAAAGCAGTTCAATAGAGGAAAATAAATCATTTCAATTAATAGACTTTCATATGGAGGTGGGGGAGGCCAACAATGTTATTCTCCCTCACACTACACATAAAAGTAATTTGAGGTGCATTATACACCAAAACTTCAAAGGTAAACATATAAAGCTTTTCAAAGATTAGCCTACCAACAAGTAAGACACAGAAAAGACAGATATAAAAGAAAGACATGATCAACTGGACTTCATCAACATTAGCCATACTTTCTCATTAAAAGATACCACGAAGAAAGTGAGAAGGCAAGCCAGCCACAGACAGAGAGAAAATGGTCACAAAATATATCTGACCTCCACACCCTGTACTTATAATTATAGTGGTCTGATACACTGCACCCAGTTTCTGCTGGAGTATTTTTGGGTGTCCCTAATGAGTAAGAGAGCCAGGCGCGGTGGCTCAAGCCTGTAATCCCAGCACTTTGGGAGGCCGAGACGGGCGGATCACGAGGTCAGGAGATCGAGACCATCCTGGCTAACATGGTGAAACCCCGTCTCTACTAAAAAATACAAAAAACGAGCCGGGCAAGGTGGCAGGTGCCTATAGTCCTAGCTACTTGGGAGGCTGAGGCAGGAGAATGGCATAAACGCGGGAGGCGGAGCTTGCAGTGAGCCAAGATCTGGCCACTGCACTCCAGCCTGGGCAACAGAGCAAGACTCCATCTCAAAAAAAAAAAAAATGAGTAAGAGAGAGTCCCATGGGATATTCCTACAGTTCCCAGATGCACAGTGGGAAAGACCCCATGTTGATCAACCCCAGGGGCCTGAAAACCCAGGTCTTCAAGGAGAGTGGAGGATACCTGGACCCTGCCCAGACCGCTGGATGGGCTGTGCCAAGAGACCCAGCAAGGGAAGGGATTTCCTCCTGCCTCAGGTTCTCTGTTGTTCTGTGTTTAGACGACCTGAACCCAACTCCCTCCCTAAGCACTGCAGATGGGGCTTTTCCAAGGGCTGGGGATGTTGCTGTCCTAAGGACAGCTGAGCAAGGGGGTTGAGGAGGAGATTGGGTGGTGGAGGAGAGGAAACCGGGTAAGATGCGTGAAGCAGTCAGTTATACCAGGCCCAGAGAGGACCCGCTGGGACATAAGAGCCTGCATGTGAAGCCAGGCCTTGGGCCACCTTGTTCCTCAAAGGAGTGCCTATGTCTATGAGGTCTTCAAAGGGACTATGGAGAGGCCTTCAGCCCACATCTCTGAATGCTTTTCCACCACAGCATGCCCTGTGGCCTTTATCCTGCTGGTGTGGAACAGTCAGACCCCTGCAGGGCTGCAGAGCCTCTGTACCGGGCGGCATCCCAGCCTGAGTGCCAGAGCTCAGTGGGCAGGCCCCCAAGCAAGTAGAGAGGAGGCCACCTTTTGGACAGAATGTGTGGGACGAGAGCGATAGCTCATCCATTCAGGTTCCTCACAAAATGAGAGTCAGGAAGATCAGGGCGCAGACCTGATTTTCCACTCAGGGCTGAAAGCAGACAACCCAAGGGAGAGCAGCACCTGGGCCAATGAGGTAGAAGGCAGAAGACTACAGGTACTCCTGCCCTCAACCTCAGCCCCTCCCACCCACATCCTCCACACCCCCTGACCACCTTCCTCAGAAGTATAATAGGAATCCAGATTCCCCCTGGCCTGGTTGCTGCGGGAGGTACAGTGGCCTGATGGAGCCTGAGGCAGGTGTGGCAAGGTGTGGATTGTCTAACTGGAGGTTGGGAGTCCCGGGTGCAGAAGGAGAAGCTTGGAGTGCAGCATTTGGTGGTATGTGTGTGGCAGTAGGCAAAAGAAAGAGACAACTAAGCCACTTGAAATACCTTGAGAATTCAAATTTAGAAAATTCCCGGGGAAGTATGCATGCAGGCATTCATGAGATCCAGAAAACAGCTGCTGCATAACTGCATGTTGCAAGCAAGCCCTAAATTGCTGATTTTTAAACAGCCTGATGCGTTCACAAAGACAATTTCTGAATAGTCTTAAGAGCAGAGGTGCACTAAAGCCACTCTGCCCTGCAGCCCAGGATCCCAGTAAGTTCTTTAAGGACCATTTATGGAAGATTTTTGGAGTTGTCCTTGGTAACCCCCAAGAATGTTTTGATTAGGAGTAGAATTTTAGATGTCATCAATTTAAAAATTAAAACTAAAACTCTGGAACTCATAGAGAAAATTAAGAGAATACATTCACTATCCTGAGTAGAAAGATTTCTTATAGAACATAAGAGGCTTTAAAAATAAAGGAAAAAAATGGCAACATTTCATCAAATTAAATGCTTTGAGAAGTAAAATTAAAATCTGAAGCCACCCAACCAACTGGACAGACCCCTTCTTGGCCAGGTAGACCCCAGGGAAGTCTTGAATACTGAGTTCCTGGCCTGTATTGGGAAGCTCAGACCCCTGTCCTTATACTCTCTCCCTTTTGTGGTTTAGACACAACTGACCAGCATTATTGTTAAAATAGAGGTCATAAGACTGACAGAACAGACTCCTTACAGTAGTAAGATACCACATTATAAACAAGACCTGAGGCCATGCCAGGCAAGGTTAAGTCATGCACCCCTCAGTTTAAAGAATAAACTATGTTCTAATTGCCACAGGTGTTTTTTTTCTTCCTTTCTTTTTCTCTACCTAAACAAGCACAGGCCTTCAGATAAGCAATGCTGAAGCACTTGCAGCTCACCCATTACCATAAACTGACTGAGCCCTCCCAACACAAGCCATCACTACAGCTTTGATTGGACAAGACACTGATTTCAGTAACTTTCTCTTGGTAAGAGACCACTGGCTGTGGACTGGTTCTGGACAGTGCACAGAGGCTGTGCTCTTGATTGCCTTTGTGTCCCTGTTTCACCTTTTGAAGCACAGGACCTTATTATAATGTACTTAAATGTTGTCTCCACCCCAAAGTGAACAGGGGTTGCATGTAACAGTCATGTTTACTCAGCATGCATGCATGTTGAGGGAGTCTGGCTCTGTCGCCCAGGCTGGAATGCAGTAGCGTGATCTTGGCTCACTGAACCTCCGCCTCCTGGGTTCAAGCGATTCTCCTGTTTCAACCTCCCAAGTAGCTGAAATAGCAGGTGCATGCCACCACGTTCGGCTAATTTTTGTATTTTTAGTAAAGACGGGATTACTCCATGTTAGGCAGGCTGGTCTTGAACTCTTGACCTCAAGAGATCCATTTGCTTCGGCCTCACGAAGTGTTGTGATTACAGGCGTGAGCCACCGTGC